GTCTGAAACCCCCTGGAAAAGTTTCTTTAAGTTTGAGAATTCAGAGGGTTCCATTTTGCTTGAGCCTAATAGTTACCCAGAAAATGTTAGAGGTTAGTGGCGGTCTGTTAGCTCAGCTGGTTAGAGCGTGGTGCTAATAACGCCAAGGTTATATGTGCCGGAAGATTGGAGAGTGGCAAACGTCATTCTCTTGTTCAAAAAAGGGAATAGAGATAACCCCAGAAATTACAGGCCAGTTAGTCTTAATTCAGAGAAAAGGGCTCAGAGATAGGATTTATGATCACTTGGATAGGAACAGTTTGATTCGTAATAGTCAGCATGGATTTGTGAGGGGTAGATCATGCCTCACAAATCTTAATGAATTCTTTGAAGAGGTGACCAAACACGTGGATGAAGGTAGAGCAGTGGATGTGGTATACATGGATTTAAGTAAGGCGTTTGATAAGGTTCCCTGTGGTAGGCTCATGCAGAAAGTAAGGAGGCATGGCATAGGGGGAGCTGTGGCAGATTGGATTCAGAATTAGCTGACCCTTAGAAGACAAAGGGTGGTAGTGGACGGAAAATATTCAACATGGTGCTCAGTTACGAGTGGTGTACCACAAGGATCTGTTCTAGGTCCTCCTCAATTTGTGATTTTTGCAAATGATTTGGATGAAGGAGTGGAGGGGTGGATTAGTAAGTTTGCAGATGGTACGAAGGTGGGTCGAGTTGTGGATAGTGCGGAGGGCTGTTCTAGGTTACAAAGGGACATTGATAGGATGCAGAGCTGGGCTGAGAAGTGGCAGATGGAATTTAACCCTGAAAAGTGTAAGGTGATTCATTTTGGAAGGACAAATTTGAAAGCGGAATACAGGGTTAACGGAAAGATTCTTGGCAGTGTGGAGGAGCAGAGGGATCTTGGGGTTCATGTCCACGGTTCCCTGAAAGCTGCCACCCAGGTGGATAGAGTTGTTAAGAAGGCGTATGGTGTGTTAGCTTTCATTAATAGAGGGATTGAGTTCAAGAGCCGTGAAGTTATGCTCCAGCTGTACAAAAGCCTGGTTCGTCCACATCTGGAGTATTGTGTCCAGTTCTGGTCGCCTCATTACAGGAGAGATGTGGAAGCATTGGAGAAGGTGCAGAGGGGAAGGTCTTATGAGGAAAGGTTGAGAGAGCTAGGACTTTTCTCTTTAGAACGACAAAGGATGAGAGGTGACTTGATAGAGGTGTACAAAATGATCAGAGGTATAGATAGAGTGGACAGCCAGAGACTTTTTCCTAGGCTACAGGTAGCTATTATGAGGGGGTGTAGTTTTAAAGTGAGCGGAGGTAGATATCAGGGAGACGTCAGAGGTATTTTCTTTACTCGGAGAGTGGTAGAGGCGTGGAATGCATTGCCGGAGAGGGTCGTTGAGTCGGCCTCATTAGGGGCATTTAATTAGGTAGGCATATGGATGATAGTATAAGGTAGGGGTGGAGGTTAGATAGATCTTGGGTTTAGGGTTAAAGTTCGGCACAACGTCGTGGGCCGAAGGGCCTGTACTGTTCTATATTCTATGTTCTATAAGCTAACTTCTGGGTAACTGATAAACTGAACCTCCATATCCACCACCCACCTACTTGCACAGTACCTGATCCCCCATCTTTACCGTAAGCCTTGATTCATTTTTCTGGTACTCTACCCATCTCACCTACCTAACACTCTGTGCCCTATTTCCAAAATACTTTATGTAATTGCCCTATCTCAGTAACTGTCAAAGTGGCCATCCTGATTGAAACACAGAGAATGCTGGAGAAACACAGCAGGTCCAGCAGCATTTGTCGAGAAAAACATCATTAGTATTTCTTGTTCTGTCACAAAGGATCGCTGGACTCGAAACACTCTCTCAGTTTTCTCTTACAGATGATGCCAGACCTGCTGTGTTTTTCCAACACTCTGCTTTGTTCAGATTTCCAACATCTACAGTTCTTTGTGTTTTTATGGCCAGCTATACTGCTGACATTTAAGCATCAGAAGATGGCACCCATATTACAATAAGTAGTTTAGGCAATGATCCTCTCCTTTTCTGACTCCGATGTTCCTGCGTAGATCTCTTCTGTTTAAAAGCAAGAGGTTCCTGTCTAGGAATCTCCAGTGCAGAACTGATCTAAAGGTAAGTGAATAGTTTTCAGTCCAATCAGAGTCAGAGAAAGGGTTTCTGACACTGATCAGAATTTCTGGGCTGATGTGGAAAATTCCCTGACTTAAAGCCCAAAAGATGCAGCAATATTAACAAACATGCTGTTTTTCCATGAGCAACAGGAGACTGTTTATGAACAGGCAAGTCTTCTATACCCTTTAGAGGAGCAGTGGGCTGAGAGTAAACAGAGTATAGAATATAGCATAAGCAACCTGTGTGGGATGATTCTTGAAATACTACTAGAGTATGTTAATTTTCTTCCAGAGGTAGGTCAGCGTCTTTCACTATTTAATTAAAAAGTTGAGATTTGTTTAGTTAAAGAAAATTGGCCTAATTTGTAATGTTAGAAATTGTTTCCTCCAGACATATATTTAACTGCATTTCCATATGGTGGCTTTCAGGACTTCTGTCTATATTTTGTTGGAGAAATTGTACCAGCATGTCTAGAATATAAATGTGTCATTCAGCATGTTAGATGATAGGTCTTGGTTGTAGAAGTCTTCCATAACACATGGGAAAAATATATCCATTTCCCTGATCAACAGCTAAAGATCTCAGGGGATAGGTTTTGATGTTGTTGTTCAGACAATAAACTGGCAATGTGGATTGGCCACTTGTTTTAAAATCTAACTTTCTTTTCCAATTATTTAAGCAAAAAAAGGACTGAAATCTACTTGTGTATTGTGGGCTTTCATCAGCACAGCAAAACACGAAATTGTCTTAAATCCATTACAACATGTTAAAAAAAAATTCAACCTCTATAACTCTGAAGGCATTGTGCCTGAGTTGTTGAAAACTTGCATGTGAGATTAGTTTGGTCCTGAGCCATGTTATTGCCATGTAGCCCGGCATATTTGGAAGATCTCCCAGTGATAAATGAACCACAACCCACAAACAATGGAAAAGATCGTGAGTAGTTCTAGCTAGTGGCATCTACTCGACAATGATCTGCAATCTGGTGTTTAGCCCAGCTGTTGCCAGCAACACTTGATTCCTGATGACCATTATCTTGACTTATGAAGGGATAATTTGTGTACCTAAAGGGAAGTAAGTAGCTGCCTTGTGCAACATGGTAGCAATTGACTGTGTCTTGCACCAAAGAGATTCAAGAAAACAGGTCGCGAATAATTAATCAGAGATGTTTCCAGGAATGAGGTCATTGTAATTGCAGTAAGATTTTCATGGTTACTTAAGATAAAATGCCATGGATAAATTCACATTGCTACGAGAGTTCCTTGAGGCAAATTACTTAGCCTGACCACGTTCAGATGCATCATATGTGACCTTCTATCTCTCAGGCACAGTGGGCCGCCTCCTGTGCTGTGACACTTCTGTGATCATAAAGTCATGTGTTGAGCTGTTTGCTAATGACTGTAAATTGTTCACTTCCGTTCATAATCATTGTAATAATGAAGTAATTCTAACCCTCTTACCCCATCTTTCGACAGCGTGACCAAGCATTAATCTCCTGGTGTCATTATGGACTCAAAACTTAAATAGCATATCAATTCTAGCAACAGTAGCAAATGAAATATCGGTTACTCTCAATGCATAGCCCATTGCCTTACCCTTAAAGCTCTTTCCACTATCTACAAGAGTCCAGATAGGAGTGTACGAGTGTAATTTTGTATGACAAGACTTTAAGGTTGGCACCAACCAGGATATAGTTGATCAGCATCCTGCCACTGTACTGTGGTTATAAAAGATACTTGCAACACTCCAAGAGCAGGAATAATCTATTTTCTGTGTCATGATTTTCAGAGTGAGAGGCACAGCAGCAAGATTCATTAAATAGGTAAATAATTTCACACCATTTTGGAAGCTCGATCAGCATGATGACTAAAGCGTTTCAAAGAAAACAACTACCACTGCCTTATTTAGGCACAAGTGGTAGGTAGTAAATGCAGTTTTTAAATGTCACACATCCTGAGATCAATTGTTCTGATCTTTTTAATTGACTTAATCTGGTGATAACAGTTCAAAGTCTGTGGCATAGTTGCTGTAATAGGAAGTTTATTTCTTTTGGCGATTGAGCTTTCTTTTTGTAGACCTTTCTTGAATGTCAAGAATTTTAATCTTGTTCTTGGACTGATTGTCCAAATCATTACCATGTTGGAGAGAATCCTCCTGATTTCATCAAGGCACAGCTACAGCTTTCTGCTGTTTCTGATCAATTTTTAATCTGTATTGAGCTGCAGTGTTTTACTTTCATTTTAAAATTACAATGTTTACCTGAGGGCTTGTAATGTTTTTGTAATCACAGTGGTTCTTGTTTATAGTTCCATGATTCGAGCTAGTCAATCATTGAGTTATTCTGCTGGATCCCCTACATTGAAGATTGCATGTGCTCAGAGAAACTTCCATTACATTATAAGCTGCAATAATATTAAAAATGTTTCACTATATACTTCCCATTTTGTAATTTTATTATACTAGGTAGGGAGGTTGGAGTCATTCAAGAAAAAAACAAATAGGTTTGGGAGGCTAATAACATACGACAGTCTGTCGTCTTTGATTTCCCCCTATTCCTTTCTCTGTCTCTTATTTAGCTTTCATAACTTGCTACCTCTGTCATCGTGTCTCATAGTTAAATATTAGTTGACTGACTGCTAGTATTTAGCATCCTTATTTCTTTTTGCTACTTGGCTTCGATTTGTTTCTCAAATTGGTAGCATCAGAACTGATGAAAAGGCCATTCACTTGCAATATTAATCATTCTTTCTCTGTCTGTCTCCCTACAGATACTATCAACTGAATATGTAAAGTACTTTGTTTCTGTTTCTTTTGATACTATATGTTCCAGTATTTTAAAAAAAATGTTTTTAAAAAAAAAACATTTGCAGGACATCTGTCGCCGTCAGAGACGGATGGAGATATGCTTGGCTATGACCTGTACAGCAGTGCACTGGCAGACATCCTGAGCGAACCAACTATGCAACCTCCTATTTGTGTTGGACTTTATGCACAATGGGGAAGTGGAAAATCTTTCCTTTTGAAAAAGCTTGAAGGTAAAACATGATTTGCATGTTTACAGAATTAATGTATATTTTTCCTAATGCGTAGTGTCTCATTTATTCAACTTCCATATGAAATCATTGAGACAATATCCCTTTTTCGATATTCACGTTCTAGTGTTTGTGTGTGAATGTGACCAGAACTGTGGTTATTCTGCATTATTTCACAAATGCATGGTCTAAAATATCCCAAATTTTGACATCTTTCTCAAGCTTGTCAACCACTATATTTATGAATAGTAAGTGTAGAAAAAGGTTTATGTAAATCAGGCTGTACAAGATATCTGCAGCTTCCAGAAATCTCGCATTTCCTTTCAGTTGAATTTTCATTTTAAAACAATTTATTAATATTGTTTAAAGTAAATATTCCTTTCTAATAAAAACAAACTTTCTATAGATTCATTGAATCCCTACAGTGCAGATAGAGGCTATTGACCCATTGAGGCTGCTCCATCCCTCGGAAGAACAGCCCACTCAGGCCCACACTATCCCTGTAATCTTGCATTTCCCATGGCTAATCCACTTGGCCTGCACATTCCTAGGCAATATGGGGTATTTTAGCATGGCCAATCCACCTAACCTGTACATCTTTGGACTGTGGGGGGAAACCGGAACTCCTGGCAGAAACCCATGCAAACACATGGAGAACATGCAAACTCCATGCAGACAGTTGCCTGTGGCTGGAATTCCACCCAGGTCCCTGGCGCTGTGATGTAGCAGTGTTAACCACTAATCTACCATGCCATCCAATTTAGATAGGATATTGACAAAATTGTCAATAGACAAGAATAGAGGAACTGCATATTATTTCAGTGGACAAAGACCGCAGAAAGCTACAAAACGGAAGGATTTGGGAGTCCTCATCCCTGAATCACAAAAAACTAACCTCCATTTCATTGTCTAATAGAGAATGCAAATGGAATGCTGATCTTTATTTCAAAGGGAATAGAGTATAAAAGCAGGGAGGTTTTGCTGAAACTAAGCAAAACCCTCAGATCAGACCATAGTTGGAATACTGTACGTAATTTTGGTCCCCTCATCTAAAGAAAGATATACTGGCATTGGAGGCAGCCAGAGAAGGTTCTCTAGACCAATACCAGGTATGGAGGGACCGCCCTATCAGGAGAGGTTGAGTAGGATGAACCTGTTCTCATTGGAATTTAGAAGATCGAACAATGACATCCTTGAAACATATGATTCTTAGACTCTCCCCAAAAGGGAGACTTAGGAGGGCATAATCACACATTTAAGGCAGAGTCAAGGAGGAATTTTTTTCGCTGAGGGTTGTTAATCTGTGGGATTCCTGACCTCTGTTGAGGCTGGGTCATTTAAAAATGTTAAAGACAGATTTTTAATTAGCAAGAAAACCAGGGATTATGGGGATTAGATAGGAAAATGTACTTGAAGCCTATCAGATCAAACATGATCTCCTTGAGTGACTGTTCAGACTCAATGGACTGAATGGTCTACTTCTGCACCTTCGTCTTATGGCCCCTCACTGGGTTTTAGTGACTTATGTTCCCAGATATCCCACTGTCTTTGTTCCTCCACAGATTGTTTCCTGTCGCCATTAAGAAAGTATTCTAATTTAATCCATTGCTGAGAACATAAAACCTCTTACTTCATCAAATTAGACACTGTTACAATTTTTCCCCCATGCACTTAAAGGTGCCTCCTGACAATATCTGCACATTTGGAAAACCAACACTCTGTTGTTCCTGCATCCATGCCATTAATATCTATGGTGAAAAATTGATGCTCCATTCAGATTTCTGGGAACACCACTTCCACATTCGGTCAATTAGAATACACTCCCATTGTCCCTACTTTCCTATTTACCAATCAATTATCAGCCCATTGTTACAAGTCCTCTACACGTTGATCATTGCTAATATTCTTCCCCGTCTTCAACATCCATAACTATCCCCTATCCCCCAAGTTTCTCAACAAAATTCATCTAATCAGGCGTGACTACCCATCACTTATTCTTGCTGACAATCCGTTTTGTCTCCGATAAATTTCAGTAATTTCCCTGTAACTTATAACCTTCTGGTCTCTGCCGTCTCCTTAACTGATGGAATGGCAATTAATTCTTTTTAATTCCAAAATCACCAGTACTGAATGAAGAGTTGAAATGCCATATCATTTCTCTTTTAGTGCAGAACTGATTGCACTTGCAGCCAATGCTGTTGTGTCAACTTCATTTTTTTTTAAAAGCAAAACCCTTAGTGTTTTAGGATATCATTGAGAAATGTAGATAACTATAAACAGTTTGAATACTGTAAATATGATTGTAATATATTTGATATTGATATTTGCATAGTATATTGGTATTCACTGCAAATAAACTTTGGTTATCCTTAGGCCAAATGGATTGGGTAGAACTGAGTTTCCTGAATGTGATTTATGAACCCAATGGAGCTGTGAGGTGTGTCACAAAAATGGCTGCTATGGAGCTTGATCTGATTGCTAACAAATGTCTGACACCTTTAAATTTTTCATAGTGGGCATGGCATAACTACTGATTTTTGAGGCCTGAATGCTGTATTATAAAATCCTGTGGAACAGCGAGCGTTTCTCAGTAGAAATTCTGGGTTTAAAAAGCTCAGCCAACCATCCCCCTGACACCACTGGTATCTCACCATCCTTTTAAACCCCTTTCTCCAACTATCACAGGTCTACCATCCCTCTATACTTTGCGTATGTCACATAGAAATACTATACATTCACTTGTTTTTGTGATTGAGCTATTAAAGTAGAAGAAAGATCTGAGGGAGGGATGGGGGATGCTACTAATTTAAGTTCTCCTTTTTAAGAAGATAATGAGAATAAAATGACTTGAAATTTGTTTGACTCAAAATAAAATGTTGCTCTGTCTTTGTGGAAATGTGAGGAAAAGGTTCTCCCTCCCTGCTGGGCTATTCTTGTAATGTCAGTTCCTGGAAATTCCTTTAACTTATTGTATTGAAAATATAAGATTCCATTATTTCAATTTAAGAAATGATCAAGTCCATTTTCAAAATATTTGGAAGAACAGTGCCAATGTTTGTATTTCATGCTGATGGAAGCGGTTTAAAAAATAAAGTATAATACTGAGAATGTTGGTGTTTAATGTTTGATTTAAGAGCATTGAGCAGTAGAAGAAGGATCGTAATGTGTTCAAGCTTTTCTTGGTTAAAGATATTTTAAGCCCAGTTTGTTTTCAACTGTAGGTCCATGGAATAGGCATAAATATATATATGCATAGAGAAAATATCTGAAATCAAAATTTATGAATAATTGTACTAACCTTTTGCATTGAGAGCTAATGTTTTACTGTTTTTCTCTTTAGATGAAATGAAGACATTTGCTGGTCAGCAAGTGGAACCTCTCTTCCAGTTTTCTTGGTTGGTGGTGTTCATTACACTGTTAATATGTGGAGGAACAGGAGTACTCCTTGGCTTCGCAGTTGATCTGAAGCTTGGCATAGCAGTTGGACTGAGTTTACTGGCACTTATTTACATCTTCTTTGGTACGTGCAAGTTAATTTTTGATAGCTTTGTCAGTTTGTGCTCTTGACAATCAAATATCAATTTTATAGTCTTGTTGAACAATGCAGTTGGAAATGGAAGTATTACTATATTGGAATAATGTTTTATTTTTCCTTTTATCAAATGTTACTACAATTTATTTTGCTCTCCCCGTTAACCTCAAATTTCTCTATTGTTGGTACCATGTGTCAGCTGCTCATTCCTTTGGCCTTGTGCATAACTAAAGGAAAGGCATTGGATTTCACCAAATATTTAAAGGACTTGTGAATTAAATTCATCTCTTTCATTGGTGTAACGGTTGTATGTACTCTGGAGTTTGGTGAGAATTGATGGATGAAATATATAATTGTGCAATTGTTCTTGAACTGATTAACTTGCTGGAGCACTTGGAGGTTAATTAAGCACCAGTTATATTTCTGAGGTTCTGGAATTTGCATGAGGTAGATTTCTTTCCCTTATGGACATTAGTTAACCAGATAGATTTTTGTGACAATCATTGTCACCTTTACTAAGACTAGTTTCCAACTCCAGCATTGTGATTTGAATCCATAAACAGAGAATGGACCTCTCTATTACTAGTCTAGTGATATTACCACTATGCTGCTGCCTCCCTGGTGACTTCGGAGCTTTGCTAACCTATTTATAAACTTAAACAAAACCATTTATTTTATGTTCCAACCTTGATAAGATCACTGTTAAATCTTCACAACTACTTTAGTTGTGTACTTCTGGCTCAATTCTCTTAGGCCATCTTAAAAATTAAGATGCTTTAAGTTGGGAACCAGTTCTTGTGACCTTCCCCTGTCCCTTTTGCAAAGCCTCCATGTGATTATGTGATAAAACCTAAGCTGAACACAGTATTCTAACTGAGACTTGTCCAAGATCTAGTATGAGGACAACATGATGTGCATTTTTGTGCTTTATGGTCAGTTGACCTCTAAATGATCAACTCATCTGTTTCGTGACTGCTTCTTGAAAAAGATGTATATTCGCTAGACGGATAGATCAAGCACCTGAAAAAGCATTTTCATTTCCCACCTCTGTCCTTGCATTTGGTTTCTCTTCCTTTCCTCGTGCTGCACTTCCTCTTTCATATGAGCACGCTGGTTAAGACCAGAAAGAGACCATTTGGCTCCTCAAACATGATATACCATTCAATAAACCATGACTAATCTGTTTGGGTTTCAAATTCCCAATACCTTGATTCCCTTTCCTTGCAGTTCATGTCTTGAGTATTTGGTCAGTTTCTGTTTATTTCGAGGAAATGTTCTGTAGAAGAAAGGTGGCTTGTTGCAAAGCCTACGTGTTTATATTTTTTTTTGTACTTTGGGTTGGGGACTGAAATGAGAAAAGGACTTCTTTAAAAACCAAGGAGCAACAAGTAGCTGATGACCAAGGCCTCCTGTCTACCAACAATGATGTGTTTGGCTCTCAGCTGAACAGCTTATGTGTACATTTGAGGGAGAAGCCATTGGATCCCTTTAAGGGCAGGAACTGTCTCTTTTCTGTGTAGTGAAAATCACCTTAAGTCTGAAGAAAACAAGTTTGTATTTCCCTCAGCAGTTGCTGTAAGTTGTGGCTCTTAATCAATAAGTCAGAGACTTTATTAGTGTGAACCAACCACCCTGTAACTGCTGCAAGCAAGTGAAAGTGTTTGGAGAAGGGCAGTTGAGCAGCAGCATGTCATGACAAGCCAAAAGGACCATTTCAGTGAACCCTGTGATTACAGACCACTGAACTGCCTTCCCAGTCATTCCCTCACACGGATGTGATAAGGTGTGTGTGTGTGTGTGTGTGTGTGTGTG